CATCCCCCAGAAATTTAATCATGCTAGCAATATATACATAAAATTTTTTAAATTGTAATGATAATTTAATGTCACCCATAGACAAGCACCTTGTGCAAAATAGGCCTGCAGGCCCACACCCTTTGGTCGTATACAAAGACCCATTAGGGGAAGGAAGATAGGAAGGCCCAGTTGAACTATTAACTTGGGGAAGAGGGTGTGCTTGTATGTACTCTCCAGAAGGACCTTTGGAGCTGCCAGTGAAGAGGGTGAAGCCATATCACAGAAAAGGCTTTCCTGGCCACGACCCACTTTTGCTCCATTGGACTCCCCCGATCCAGACTTCTCTAAGCATGTGTTACTCCTTTAAAGTGAAATTCCAGTTAACATTCCTGGGCAGATATTCATTATCGCCTGCAGGGCACGTTTTCTATCAATCTCAAAGGACAAATTGACCAGGTCCAGCTTGAGCTCCACCAGCAGCTCAGTGACATCAAAGGCCTAACTGAACAAAAGGTGTTCCAGATTCTCAACAGTAATCTACAACAACCTAACCCTAAAAGTTGGTTTGATGGACTGAGTTTACAAGTTTGGGTCATGGTAGTCCTTGGGTGCCTCCTTGTTTTAATCCTTATTTGTGCTTTGCGATATATATGGAAGTTGTTTTCTCGTGATCACATTCAAAAACAGCAACAGTAAATTTCACAGGCTTAACAACTACAATTGATTTTAAAAACAAAAAAAGGGGAGATGTTGGGAACAACCCTGCCTGGTTTCAGGAGCTGTAACCTCCCCATGGCTATGGCTGAGTGAGCAACCTTCAGACCAGAAGCCACTAAGGAGACAAAGCTTATCTCCCTGGCAGGGGCACTGCTTCTGCTCCTTTTACTTCATTCATAACTGGCCCCCAATGCTTGATCAGTTAGCCAGTGACAGGTAAGATTCCCCAAGGGGGAATGACCTAAGACAGGTATGATCATGTGGAGGCCCTCAGGGAAAGACTTGGGGGGCTATGGAGAAAGGGGGTGATGATGGGCCCTTTGACAAAGCCTGAGTCCTCATTCTGTCTGCAAGAAGTCTCCTAATCTCTTGGCTGCCTTACTTCCCCTGCCTGACTTAAGCCTGAAACAATGACAGAGGGTGGTGCAGCCCTGTGCTGGAAAGGGCGGGTTCCCCAGGCGATCAGGCCTAAGAAAGAATATGTAAAATCCTGTGAAACCTGCTTTGTTTAGAATGCTCTCAATTAAATAAGGGTCTAAGCAAGAAGTGAGTTTGTTCCTCAAAGTTTTATAGCTCTTTAGCTATCTGACCCTGACTCAAAATAGGCCCTCAGTATTCTTTGTTATCTATTGTTTGAGCCTTACTGCCTGGCAATGATTAATGAGCTTTAACTGCATTCCTGTGCAAATGAACCTAATAAAAGCCCATTGAGGGAAAGGCTCTTGGTCCTTCTCCTTTGAGAGATTGGCCACCTTTCCTCCCAAGCAGATCATGTCTTGGTAAACTTATTCTCATCTGTGGGGGCCGGGATGGGGGGCTGTGGGTAGAGCCCCCCACAGTAGAGTCAGGCCAAAAGGACTGAATAAAGTTTGGACTCGGGACCCAATTCAAGCTGATGGGACCTAAGGGGCTGTGTAAGGGAAACATTTGGAAGAGTTTTCACTCTTCTAAGGAAGTTATCAGAAGCTTCTTGAGGTTAAGCTTTTGGATTTCAGCCCAGCTCTGTTGTAGCCATACTACCCCACTGGGGATGCCAGGTGAATGATCAAGTGAACACTGAGGAAAGCAGTAGAATTGCAAAATTCAAAGAAAATTGATGACCGTGTTGAACCCCAGGGTCAAACTGACTCTGAAACTGGCTTTTGGTCTAATCCTTTCAGTTATCTGAACCAAGAAATAAGGTCCCTCACCCAGGTGAAGTTGGTCTCTACTAGTTATGAAGGAGAAATCACTGCAGTCAAGTCCTAACTAATGCAGAGAGGATGCTGGGGTTAAAACCCCTAATTTGGCCCTGGCTAGCATGGCTCAATTGCTTGGAGCATCATCCCATAAACCAGAAGGTCACGGATTTGATTCCTGGTCAGGACACATGCCCAGGTTGCAGGTTTGGTCCCCATTAGGAGCATACAAGAGGCAACCAATCAGTGTTTCTCTCTGGCATGGATGTTTCTCTCCCTTTTTCTCTTCCTCCCTTCCCCTCTCTCTAAAATCAATAAGCATGTCTTCAAGTGAAAACTGAAAAAAAAAAAAAACCTCTAATTTGATCCTTTCCCCTGAAGCCACAATGAAATAAACTAAAAACATTAAACAAAGGTATACTAAGCACATACATACCAGGTGCTCTGCAGAAGGTCAGTGCACTATCACACCTTTATTTTAAAAGCTGAGGGTTGTGGCACTGTAAAATCTTTATTTAAAAGCTCAACAATAATGATAGGTGAATATTCAGGCTGACAGTAATGAGATCCAACTATGTGATGAGTGACTTGGGTAGAAGACTTATGACTATATCTAATCTAAATATTTTATTATTGTGTAAAAAATAAAAACTGCCCCCATGACCAACCTTACACAAAATGAATCTTTTTCACTGAAATGGCTTAAAAGTACCACCTTAAAGTGAGTAAGACTCACTAATAAAAACTACATATAACCTAAATGCAAATGACCACCATCTGAAGAGAATTCATAATCTTTCTACTTCTGAACAGTTGTTTTTTATCCTAAGCTGTACCCACAACGAATGAGTTCAAATTTTCTCTCAAGAAAATATTTAAGTTGGGTTCACAATAAAAACTCCTTTTCCAATATCCAATTTAGCTTTATTGTAAAACTCCCATGGCAGACCAGACAATTCCTCAATTTAACCTTCAGTTGCTTGGATTGTTCCTTATTTTGTTTGTTGAACCTCTCTATTCTGAGCACTTTTAATTTTTTTTTCAATTACAGTTGGTATACAACATAATGTTAGTTTCAGATGTACTACATAGTAATTAGACCCATAAATTACATAGTGATTACCCCAATAAATCTAGTACCCATCTGACACCACACATAGTTATTACAATATTATTGGCTACATTTCCTGTGTTGTACTTTACATCCCTGTAACTGGTTTTATAACTGGCAATTTGTACATTTTAATCTCTTTCACCTTTTTTACCCATCTCCCTATCACCCCCCCACCACAGGCAACCATCAATTTATTCTCTGTATCTATGAGTTTGTTTCTGTTTTGTTTGTTTATTCATTTTGGTTTTTTTTTAGATTCCATACATAAGTGAAATTATGTGGTATTTGTCTTTCTCTGAGGTGTCTGGTGTGGGCTTCTTTAGGTTCATCTTGTTTGTGACTCTCTAAACTTCCTGGACTTATATGTCCATTTCCCTCAATAGGTTAGGGAAGTTTTCAGTCATTGTTTCTTCAAAGAGGCTTTCAATCCTTTGCTCTCTTTCTTCTCATTCTGATACTCCTATGATGCCAATGTTGATATGCTTGATGTTGTCCCAGAAGCCCCTTAGACTATTCTCATTTTTTTTATTACTTTTTCTTTTTGCTGTTCAGAATGGGTGTTTCCCACTACTTTGTCTTCCAGATCACTGACTTGATCTGCTTCATCTAATCTGATGTTGATTTCCTCTAATTTAGTCTTCATTGCAGTTATTGTATTCTTCATTTCTGACTGGTTCTTTTTTATGGTTTCTCTTTGCTGAGGAACAAAGAGAAAAACAGATGCTGCTTGTTTGAGGTTTGTGTACATTTGAGAGATTTTAGAAAAGTCTTCAGCACAAGCTGAGTCAGGCCACTTGTATGGAAAAGCCCCTGGAAGTGGCTTGAGCAGGCGCATGAGCTGGGTGGGGTGGGGTCTTAGGGATTCACCAGGGTGGGGCTAGTGGTGGCAGCCAGGTTAATGGAGAGCTCAGGTTTGACACCTGCCAGCTGGCTGGAGAAGGGCTCAACAAAGAAGCAATGGTGTCTGTCAGTACTTTTGTCCCCAGAGAGAGCCACCCTGACCCCTTCCCCTACATCCCTCACCCTGAAGCTAGTTAATTCAGTTCTTCCTCATATGTCCCTGGTGCTCTTCAATCAGCTGCCCCAACACCAAGACCCAGATCAAATGCATATGTGAGTGAGTATATGAGCAAGTGAATATATGCTTGGGCCGCTCAAAAGGAACACCTAGGTCTCCCACAGCCCTCCATCCTCACTCAGACATAGTCCTCGCCGATCTTCATAGCTAGATGTCATGGAGACTCCTCATCCCTGAATTGATGGTCCAGGCTGGGGAGCCTGATAGGGCTCTGAGACTCCTCACTCCTCGGGGGGGCTTCTGCAGCCAAGATAACCCTCCCAATTCTTAATCACTATACTACCAGTGTGGGGCCTGCCCTATCCATGTGTCTACCCCTCCCAGCAGTTTTGATGTGGCTTCCTCTGGATGCCCTTAGTTATAGGACTTCTTTTCAGCTAGTCTTCAGGTAGTTCTCAGTGATGGTGGTTCTATAATTTAGCTGTGATTTTGAGGTGGTCATGGGAAGAGGTAAGCACAACGTTTACCTAGTCCACCATCTTTACCAGAAGTATCCTGAGTATTTTTGGATTAACTGGCAATGACCTGGATTCCAAAGGCTATGAACCCAATTTTCCATTAGATTCCCATCTCTTTCTGGTTTAGACAGCAACCTTATTAGGCAGGTTTTATGGGTAGTGTCCTGTAGTTACTAAAAATAATGACTAGCGTTTGTTGAGCACTACTATGCACCAGGTACTGCAGAAATGTTATCACAAATCCTTCCAACAAACCTGGAAAATAAGTTTTTCTTTTCCAGTTTTATAGATATAGGACTGAGGTCTAAGGTCTCAGCTGGCCAATGGGAGAGCTAACTTCAAACCTGAGCTGACTCCACCACTTACCTCTCTGCTGGCACACACTGTGTATACGCACAACATACCTACATGGAGCAGCTCAGGTAAACACCAACATGCCTGCACTGAGCAGTGCAGCTATAGACAGAACACACCTGCATTGAGTAGCACTTTGACACAGTCCAGATGCTCCCGGGCACAAGCAACATGCAGGGGGGTCCCAAAATGGCAGTCGTGTGCTTCCAAATTGGCCCCAACATCAATTAGAAGCCTCACACATTCAGAACTTCCTTTAAGAGAAATGGAAAAAAATGAACAGTCATCAACTATATACCAGCAATTTTCAACTTTTTTCATCTCATGGCACACATAAACTAATTATTAAAATTCTGTGGCACACCTAAAAATATATTCTTTCCTGATCTGACAAAAACTAGGTATAATTGTGATTGATTTACAAAAAATAATAGTAATTACCTACCCTTATTTTAAAAAATATTTTATGTATTTATTTTTAGATAGAGGAAAAGGGAAGGAGAAGGAAAGGGAGCAAAATTTCTATTATTTGCCTCTTGCACATGCCTTAACTGGAGACTGGGCCTATGGCCTAGGCATGTGCCCTGACTTGGCATCAAACCAGTGATCTTTTGCTTTGTGGGATGATGCTCAACCAAACAAGCCACACTGGTCATGGCAAGTACCTACCCTTTTTGCCCCAAAGTGATTTTTTAAAAATCAGGCCCCTATGCTTGCACATAAGGAAATCTGGTATCAAGAATTAACAAATCAGATGCAACATGACCACTGAGAGGGAACTCTGTTATATGACCTATATATTTATGGTTCAAGACAGGGCATTCACACTGGATGGCTTGACATGTTGGCATCTAAGGAAAGAGAGGTCAGTGCCCCTGACTAAGTAATCAGGTATTGCATGTTTTAAAAATTCTTGCAGCACACCACTTGAAAATCATATTTGATTTTCAAAATGTGAAAATCATATTTGATTTTCAAAATGTGAAAATCATATTTCAAATGCATATTTGAAAATAACAACCATGACAGAACCAATGCAACAAGAAAGCCTCTTGTTTGGTTGCAGGGGCAGAGAGGAGAACCAGGACTACATCCCAAGCCAAGAGCAGTTCATAACCCCATGTGGCCCTAGTGAGCAAGTGGATGGTTGTCTTTTCTCCTGAGGGCACAACAGTTCTCCAAGCCTGCCTGGCAGCAGCAAAAATAGAGCACATAGCTAGCCTTGTTGCTGGGAGAACAGGAAGTTGGGGAATATTACTTCAGAACAGCCAGAAGACTCTCTTCATTGCTCCCCAGCTCCTCAGTGGGAGAGAAGGTGCCCAACTTCGGGGCTGCCTCCTAAGCTGTGTTGGGTGCAATGAGCCTGGGGTTGATGATATAAGCTGCTGGCATCCCCAGTCCACGCCTCCTGGGTGAACTACCTAAACTTTCTTACCATGGGATTCTCAGACTACAGACACCTTTCCTGCCTCTTCCCTTGACTCCTCTATGGGTATCTTCATTGTGTATAAGACTCCATCCTCTCTCACCACTTGATCACACTTCCTTTTAGTAGCTACCAAATTTCCGCTTCTAGCCCCTGAAAACCAGCCCCTCATCTACAGCTATCTGCTGGCCATTCATGTTTGGATGTTCTAATCACTACCATCAGACTTTCCCCATCCCCTCCCTGGGGCCACATCCTCCTGGCCAATCCACCCCAGTTATTGGCCTCACTCCCTGCTCAACCCTGAGTAGGTTTTAACCCCATGCTCTCCTTTCCCTCATATCAACCCCATCAATTCTTCTCTCAGTTTTCTAAATGAATCCATCCCACTTGAACTCTAACAGCTTTGCACTTGGATCACTATGATGGCCCTCAACTCATGTCCCTACTTCCAAGATATTCCCCCCACCTCACCATTTCAGTCTGTTGAATGGTAGCAGAACATGCCACCCCCAAAATATGCCACCTTAGCATAAGGTTTATTTTGAGCTGAAGATAATTGGGAAGAAAAAGATATAAGAAAAGCTTTCTGCCCTTCTCTAAATTGCTTAAAAGAAGGACATATATTTGTAAAGGTGTTCCCCTCCCCTCTCTACCAGGAAGGACAGAAGTTAATCACCAGAGACAGCTCTAGCTGGAGCTTCTAAAATTAACCCCATCTACCATTAGTTCCCCCATATATATTCCTCTCCATAACTCGCCATCCTAAATCTCCATGCCCTTTTCCTTTGCCTTATCATTTCTTTAAAAACTTACTGTTCTATATCATCAAAGTTCTAACCATCCCTTTGAATGACACCTTGCCAAGTTCTCCCATGTGTATGCACAATGCACTACTCACATTAACAAACTTCTGTTTTTTTCTTGTTAATTAGTCCCTTCTCACCTAAGCAGTGGGGCCCAGTCAGTGAACCTAAGATAGATAGAGGGAAAATTTTTCCTCTTCTACACTATACATGGCCACTAAACTAATCTTTCAAAATGCTGATTTTTGGTCATTCAACATCTGCTCAGAAACCTTCAAAAGGCATCTGTAGCTATCCTCAGTGCCTGCAAGAGATGATCTAACTGTAGGAATCAGGGAATGAGGCTGCAGAGAACAGCAACCCTGCATGAAGGCATGGAAAAGTGTTGGGAACTGCCCTGCCTGGTTTCAGAAGCTGTACCCCCACCAAGGCTAAGTCTGAGGGAGCGACCTTGGACCGTAAGCCACCAAGGAGACAAAAGCTTATCTCCCTGGCAGGAATGCTGCTTCTGCTCCTTTTACTTCATCCATAACTGGATGCCAATGCTTGGTCGGTTAGCCAATGATGGGTAAGATTCCCCAAATAGGGGAACGATCTAAGACAGGCACAATCACGTGGGAGGCCCCCAAGGAAGGACTTTGGGGGCTACAGCAAAAGGGGGTGATGGACTCTTGCCCCTTGGCTTTGAAAAAGCCTGAGTCCTCATTGTCTGTGAGAAATCTCCTAATCTCTTGGCTTCCTTATTTCCCTTGCTCCACCTAAGCCTAAAACAACGACAGAGGGTGGTGCAGCCCTGTGCTGGAAAGGGTGGGTTCCCCAGGTGATCAGGCCTAAGAAAGAATATGTAAAATCCTGTGAAACCTGCTTTGTTCAGAATGCTCTCAATTAAATGATAAGGGTCCAAGCAAGAAGTGTTTGTTCCTCAAAGTTTTACAGCTCTTTAGCTATCTGACCCTGACTCAAAATAGACCCTCAGAGTTCTTTGTTATCTATTGTTTGATCCTTACTGCCTGGCAATGATTAATGAGTTTTATCTGTATTCCTGTGCAAATGAACCCAATAAAAGCCCATTGAGGAAAAGGCTCTTGGCCCTTCTCCTCTGAGAGATCGGCCACTTTTCCTCCCCAAGCAGATCATGTCTTGATAGACTTATTCTCATCTGTGTTGGCTGGGGGAGCCCTGCCGGCAGAGGCCCCCAAAGAAAAGGGCACAAGTTTGCAACCTTTGCTCAAGAGTATAATCCGAAATCTTTAGTCCATCATTTAAAAAATTTCTACCAGCTGCTCTCACCCTAAATTTCCAGTCTTACCTGCTTTTGTTTGTGTTGGGAGCTTCTGATCCAGTGAGACTTGATGTCATTTTTCCCATGCATGGCCTTCCTCTTATCCTCCCACCTTCTGAGTGCATCCACTCTGGGAGGGCAGTTGAAATCCCACCTGCTCCCTGAGCCGACAGGACCAGCTCCCCGACTTTGAGAGCACCTGTCCTTAGGGATGTGTCTGGGTCTCATCTCCCAGCTAGATCAGGTGCTCACAAGGCAAAATGACAGCAAAGACAGAAATACTTCAGAGTGCTAGTGTCTGAAAGGCACTAAGCTTCTGCTAAAAAATAGAATCCTGTCATGGAAACAGCAGCCCCCTAATCCTAGGTAAGGACTGTATCTCCAGAAGGAAAGCTGAGCATTTCTATGAAGGACCAAGAGCCAGATACAGACCAGGAGTGCTCTTGGGCCAGCAATGGCTTCCACTTCCTTGACCACATGGCTCCCTTCCACTTAACTCACCGCTCATGCAGGCCTCATGCAGTGGGGAGGCTGTGTAGAGGGGTGGGTTGACCTTGGCCCCATAGGAGAGCAAGAGCTTCACACACTCGATGCTACCCGAGGCACAGGCATCACAGAGAGGGGTACTACCATCAATGTTCCGGGCATCCACCTTGTGGGGAGGAAGAAACAGACGTTACAGGGCCAAGGGGAAAATGTGTTTTCTCATCTTGATCTGCATTCATGTAAACAAAGGCACTTCTTAGATTTTCTAGTACGTGCTAAGACACCGCGCCAAGACACCGTGCCAGGCAGGGGAGTTTACAGATCACAGGAACTTGTGTTGGAATCGCCTTCTAACCTCCTAAACACAGGCGTCATTCTGTCTGAGGTTCTTTTATTTCTCGAGCAGGATCGGCTCAGCCTTATTCTCTCCACCACCCCAACACTTAATACACACAGAGTAGGAAAGAAGAGCTCCAGGTTCCAGCTGAGGCAGGCAGAGAATAATAAGGGGCTTAAATTGCTTAACATGCCTCCTCTAGTTGGAAAATCACAGGGAAGGAAAAAGGCAGTTCCCCAGCTGGCAGATTCTGTCTCGGATGAGTCCAAATTCAGCTGCTGTTTGGGTACATGCTGAAGCTTGTTCCACTTCCTCCTGAACTGCCTTCATGGCCAAGCTTTGGGCAAGAGTAAGCAGGGCACCATCTTCACTTTGCGCTCACCCTGAACCCCAACACCATCCAGTCCAGTGGGTGTCTGGGGCAACTCCCCCAGCCCACTGTGAAACAGCTAGCAATTCCACCAGCCAGAAAGCACTGGTGTCACATAAGTACTTACACCAGGAAAATCAGTAAATAAATCAGACAGAATTTTATTTTTGCTCCTTTTTACCTTTTTTCCAGAGAGCTGTTTGCCAGCATCTTACTTAGTCATCCTGGTGAGCCCAAACCACAGCTCTTGAGCCAAGGCCCACAAGCCCTCCAGAAAGCCTGTGTGTGTGATGTGTGTGGCCTGCCAGGCCCCCTGCCTAGTGCGGAGCATGACACTCCCTCCACCATTTTGCTAAAACTACCTTCTCTTTAGCCAGCAGTGACCCTCTAATAGTCAAGTCTATGACCACTTACTGATCCTAGTGCACAGTTGACATAGAGACCTCCACGCCCCTCCCTGGGCTTCCACCACACTCCATTCTGATCCCTCCTTCCTTTCCTGCTCAGTCATCTACAGTGGTTTCTCTACTTCTTTCTGGTGCTTTTGCAAATCATGGAATGCAAATCCCAATCCCCTTATTTTCCTCTCTCTACATGTCCCTTGAGATGGTCCCATCTGCACCCATAGCCATAGTCAGGCTTGGCAGATATCCTGAAGTGTTGCTCACCTGGGCCCCGGCAGCCAGAAGCAACTGCACACACTGTGCCTGGCCCTGCAGACTAGCTGCATGCAGGGGTGTGATGGAATCCACCGTGACCTGGTTGACACAGGCGCCATTCTCAATCAGCTGCTGCAGTTCCAGGGCCTCACCTCGATGGGCGGCCTCATGCACGGGGGTGCGCTCCACCCAGAAACCTGGAAAGGAAGCAGATCTAATGCTGAGACCATGTCACTTCTATCCAGATCAAATAAATGCATGTACAAGTCCAGAGACCCTTGATTAAACCCAGACACCACACATGGTCATGTAATTGGTCTTTGGCAGCATATAAGGGCCTTGCTCACCTCCTTGACCTATTTCCCACACTACCCCACAAACCCCACTCTCCAGTCACACTCGCAGCTCATTGTTAACCCTACTTTATCATATTTGAGTTTCTCTGCATGTATTCTTCTCTACTTGAAGTGCCCACCTTTGTCCCTACCCCAATTGTCCATCCTGCTACCTCCGATTTAGACACCTACATACTCTACATGGACCCAGTTAAAATGTGTCCTTCTCTGGGAAACAATTCTCCCACACTACTCACACATATACAGTCATTTACACTGTCTCCCTCCTTGCCTGGAAGTACCTTGAAAGTAGGGACCAGGTTTTAGTGACTCAATTTTAGTGGATTCCTCAGGATTTTCTATACACAAAATCATGCCATCTGTGAACAGAGATAGTTTTTCTTCTTTCTTTCTAATCTGAATGATTTTATTTTTTTTTCTTGCCTACTTCTCCTGGCTTGAATTTCTAGCACAATATTGAACAGAAGTGGTAAGACCAAACATCCATGCCTGGGTCCTGGTCATGGAGTGAAAGCTTTGTCGTTTTCAGTTAAGGATAACAGTGTGGGTTTTTGTAGACCAACTTTATCAAGTTGCAGACATTCCCTTCTAGTTCAGTTTGTTGAGTATTTTTATTGTGAGAGTGTGATGGATTTTGTCAAATACTTTTTCTGCATCTATTGCAATAATTACACCAGCTTTTTTTCTTAATTCCATCAAAATTGTGTATTATGTTCATTGATTTTCAGATGTTAAACCAACTGTGCATTCCTTGGATAAATCCCACTTGTTCATGGTGTATAACCCTTTTAATATGATGCTAAATTTGCTTTTCTAGTATTCTGTTGAGGATTTTGTGTCTATATTCATAAGCGTCAGTTTTCTTATGATTAATGTAGGTGTCTGGTTTTGGTGTCAAGGTAATAGTGGAGTGAGTCATGAAGTATTCTCTCCTTTTCTAATTTTTGGAAGAATTTATGAAAAATTTATATTAAATCTTTTAATGTTGGGTCATATTTATCTGTGAAGACATGTGGGCCTGAGCTTTCCTATGTTAAAACTTTTAGTTACTATTTCAATCTCTTTATTTGTTGTAGGTATATCTGGACTTCCTATATTTTGAGTCAGTTTTGGTAGCTTGTAGGTTGTGTCTTTTTATGAGCCTGTCCACTTCATCCACATTATCTAAGTTGTTAGCATACAATTTTTTATGGATGGAAATTTGTTCCTTCCATCCCAAAATTTATATGTTGAAGCCCTAACCCCTAGTACCTCAGTATGTGACTGTATTTAGAAAAAAGGCCTGTACAGAAGTGATTAAGTTAAAGTGAGGCCATTAGAGTAGGTCCTAATCAATCTTACTGGAGTCTTTATAAGAAGAGGGGATTAGGACACACAGAGAGACACAAGGGATGTGCATGAACAGAGGAAAACCATGTGAGGACACAAAGAGAAAGTGACTGTCTGCAAGCCAAGGGGAGAGGCCTCAAGAGAAACCAAACCTTCCAGCACCTGGGTTTTGGACTTCCAGCCTCCAGAATGTGAGAAACAAGTGACTTTTTTTTTAAAGCCCCCTAGTCTGTGTTATTTTGGTATGGCAACTCAAACTGACTAGTCCACAACTGTTCATGCTATTCCCTTATAATCCTTTTATTTCTGTAGGGTCCACAGTAATGTTCCCTCTCTCATTCTTAATTCTGGTAATTTGAGTCTTCGTTCTCTTTTTTTTTCTTCTTGGTCAGCTTAGTTAAAGATTTGTCAATTTTGTTGGTCTTTTCAAAGAAATAATTTTTGATTTTGTGGATTTTCTATATTATTTTCTGGTCTCTATTTCATTAATTTCCTCTGTAATCGTTATTTCTTTCCTTGTGTCTGCTTTAGGTATTTTCCCATCTTCCAGTGTCTTACAATAGAAAGTTAGGTCATTGATTTGAGATCTTTCTTTTTCTTTAATACAGATATTTACCACTATAAATTTCCCCTAAGTACTGCCTGAGCTGCATCTCATTAGTTTTGGTGTGTTGTGTTTTCATTTTTACTCATCTCAAACTGTAATTATTTATTTTTGCACTACAACCTCATAAAATATATGTTCAACAAATATGTTAATAAATAAACAAAGGCATTCTCCTATTCCAAAATGGAATAAAATTCTTTTTCTTATGCAATGGCTTACCTCCTCATCACTCCCTACCCATCACCTACCTTCCACTCTAGAGAATGAGGTACACAGAAGGCAGCACTGTGACTTCCCTTTAACCAGTGGTGCTCACACTTGAACACCAGCATCACCTGGAGGGCTAAGCCCTACCACCAGAGTTTCTGAGTCAGTCGGTCTTAGGTAGGGCGTGAGAATCTGAATTTCTAAGAAGCACTCAGATGATGCCAATGCAGGTGTCTGGGGACCACACTTCAAGAACCACTGCTTTAGACAATACTTTTTTCTCTGACTAGAACCCCTTCTCCCCCAAGCTCTGCCTCTTTCACTCACCCCCCACCCCTCTACCCTACCTCTCCCTAATCATCCTAGATAACGTACTTGCAGCTTTCTTGACTGAAATCCAATGGCTATTTTTTCCAGGAGGCCTTGCCCACTCTATATCCCACATCCACTCTGGGTTAGCAGCCCTTCTTTTGGGCCGCCTCAGTAAATGCTCTCTGTCTATAGTATTTTACCTAACCCCCAAACTGTACCTATCTATCTTGCCCACTAGTCAGAGAACCTGTGTGACCCCATGAAATGGGGACTCAATCATAGGGGTAGGGAAACAAAGGGAGAGCTAAAATGTGGAGGAAATTTTAATTCCCACAAAATATATAAGCCAAGCTAATGGGACTTCATACTTACCATCTCAAGAAGGTATGTTCCCCAGTAGTGCTAATTAATAGTTACCTGCAGGTCTGTCTTGGGAGATAACAAAAAGTAGCTACGGATCACTTTAAAGTTAATCTAGAGAGGGCAACATCCCCAGGGCAGGATGAGAAGTTACAACCCTTAAAGGGAGAGAGCAGGGTAAGGCCCTGGGACTTGTAGCAGAAAGGGAAGTACAGGTCAGGAAGGCTGGGCACTGGGGAAGCCTGTGGCTGAGAAGTGGGCAGCCCAGCATGGCTCCCACATGTATCCATCCAGCAGCTACCTAAGAGATATGGCATCTTCCACTATGGTGTGCAAAGATGAGTAAGATGTGACAATAAGCAGTTCATGTTCATGGGCAAGGGGGACGTGCAAATAATTCAAAACAATATGATGACTGTGATACTGGAGGAATATTCAAGTTACAGGAACTCAGAAGCAAGATCACCCAAGCATCCAGGGCCAGTCAAGAGAGCATCACAAAGGAGAAGGGCTCAGTCAGCCTGTGACAAGCATAACTTGTTGGCTCTGTATTCCCAGCACCTGGCCCAAAGCTCAACAAAGATGCTCATATTCACCCACTTGTTGAATGAATGAATGCAGAGAGTTACTAAAAGAAATTATGAAGTCTGGACAGAAAAATTTTAGAATAAAATCTAATTTTCTTTCTTTATGACAAGTCTGTAGAGGAAATGCCACTTACTGGTAACCAGCAGCAGTGATGGAAGGCAGAGATCAGAAGCAGCAGATGTGATAACAAAGCAGAGAAAAGAAACTTGTGCATGTCAAAGGGCACGATCAACAGATTGAAAGGCAACCTACGGAATGGAGAAAATATTTTCAAATCATGTATCTGTAGGGGTTAATATCCAGAATATATAAAGAACTCCTATAACTCAACAACATAAACAATCTAGTTTAAAAATTGGCAAAGGACTTAAATAGATATTTCTCCAAAGAAGATATACAAATGGCCAACAAGCACATAAAAAGATGTTCAACATCACTAATCATCATCAGAAAAGTGCAAATCACAACCACAACGAGGCATCACCTCACACCCATTAGGATGGCCACTATCAAAAATAAATAAATAAATAAATAAATAAATACTGGCGGGGATATGAAGAAATTGGAGCCCTTATGCATTGTTGAATGTAAGATGGCACAGCCACTATGGAAAAGAGTATTCTCGTTCCTCAAAAAAATTAAAGATTTTACTGTATGAGCCGGGAGTCCCACTGCTAGGTATGTGCCCAAAGGAAATGAAATCAGGATATTGAAGAGATATCTGCACCTCTATGTTCACTGCAGAATTATGCAATATAGTAAAAAAGTAGACGCAACCCAGGTGTCCACGGATAGATGAATAGATAAAGAAATGTGATTTATCCATATAATGGAATATTATTCAGTCTTAAAAAGGAGGGAAATTCTGTCACATGCTACATGAATGAACCTTGAGGGCATTATACTAAGTGAAACTTTAAAAGTCACCAAAAGACAAATACTTAGATGATTCCGTACATGTGTTATCCACTTCACACAGACATAAAGTAGAATGGTGGTTGCCAGGGGGAGGAGAGAATGGGCAGTTTAACAGGTGCAGAGTTCAGTGCTGCAAGAAGAAAATGCTCTGGATACCAGTTGCACAACGATGTGCATATAGTTAATGCTATTGAACTATATACTTAAAACTTAGCATCTTAACAATTTCTATGTGGTTTTTTTAACTACAATTAAAATTTTTTAAATTATTTTCTCATAAGTAACAGAAAGAGGGAGGAGACCCTGGGGGTGGGGAGGTTGTCACCTGCAGCTGGTACCAACCACAGGCTGTCATCAACAGAGGACAGTTATAGTGGGGGGGAGGGGAAGCAGGGGGAGAATGTGACTTCAATAGCTTCTGGTGACTCCAGGAAGGGCTGAGAAGCAAGGGAGGGGAGAAGTAGTTGAGCATAAAGAATGTGGGGGATGCATGTGCCCCACGGAGCTGTGTGAATAAGCA